GACCCGCTTTTCGAGTGACTTGTCAGGACGAGAGTTTCGCCTTATAAGTTGAAAGAATGACGTCAGAACACAGGCATCGAGGAACTCAGAATAATCCCTTTAATCCGTTTTCTAATCGTGCATCGTCGCCAAAGGAAATTAAGAAAAAGCCAAGGCATTCCTCTATCGAACCAGGTTCTCCCCAGAAGCAGCTGATAAGCACAGCGTGGAGATAAGGATTCCTGAGAGCAAATTGTAAACAAAACAACGAAGGGAAGAGAAAGAAATATAACTGCGTGTATATAGGAGGGATAGATATACTTATATATGTATATGGATGCGTATATATCTGCACGCGCGTGTGTGATAACGGTTATCCAGTGACCATGTATTTCAAAGTCATCAGAAAACAAACAACAAATGTCCACTCCTGAAATAGAAAAGAAAACGACCAAATAGCCCAGAGGAAGAGATTAGGAAAATAAATAATATATGAAATAGAATTTAATACTAATTTAATCTGTAAAATACGACCATAATCAGGGTGATGGTAATAACAGGTATTTCATTAACAACACAAATACACAATAAATATAATCAATCAACTTGGTTATATGTATATATACATGTGTGTGTGTGTGCATGTGCATATATACTATGTGTATATACATACATACTGCTTGAAACATAACCAATAACACATCTGAGGTAGTAGATAGATGTGTACAGGTGTGGAGAGACAGCTGCACGTATGCATCAGCTAGACAAAGAATTTCAAACAAAGCTCAGCACCTTCAATGGAACAAAGGACATTCACTCCATTATAAAGATATTAATGTACAGTCGATTGCATCTTATGATTCCATCTATGGAGGTATTTATGCAGTTCCCAACAGGATCCTGAGAGATGAAGAACCGATCGTTAAAACAAGTGAACAGGTATTCTTAACTAAAAATATTTGATTATTCGTCTAATCGCCTCATTGCTTGCTAATTATGTTTTGTTTTTGATGTGTTCCATAAATCCTTGTCATACGTTGCAAACAAAGTCTGGTCAGGTTTTTATGTAATTCCCCTTTCCTCTACATGCTGTTCGCTTTTTCCTACGCAACAACGTACTAAAATTTCTAAATAAAATGAAAGTCACTGTAGAAAATAAAAAGAATCACGTTTGGAGTCCGAACTGGCTGCCTCATCGGGCGATGCAAGAATGCAGTGGACAGATGTATTTCCATATCACTATTATTATTATTCTCTTATTATTATTGTCACTATTTGTTAACCTTATTCTGGACGAGTTTCTATTTACTGTGCTTGTAATTTTGTTCTGATTTCCAGGTTCACCAAAATACGGCTCTTCATAAGACCTTTTACAATCTGGTTATTTTCACACTTCTTGCGTGCACATTCTAGAGAATCTCTGATCTGAAATATAGGCAATCGTTAATCCCTTCATTGTTTTCCGTCAGCTTTTCAACAGTGACTAAACTTTCCATTCAGTGGTCACATATACTTTATCTGTTACAGCAACTGTTCTTTCTATGGTTATTTGTGTATCTCAAGAAAGATCTGTTACAAACTTAATGTACTTGTTTAAGATTTATATTCTTGTGAAAAGATTAATTTTATTTTCTTGATATAATTTATTTTCCACAGTTATGTACGTCGTGGGAGTGCGTGTAAAAGATAAAGCTTGTATTCAAAGTTTATTGCGAAATAAATACTGGATAATTAGGAACCATCTTGATAGTGATTGTAATCGTCCTCTGCAATCTGGTACCGGCGTGGTTACCCTGACACTGGATACATAGAGCATGGACCAGCTGGATACAACTGCGGTTAAAGTGGAAGTTGGAAAAGGTTTGGTCACGCTGCAGAAGTAACAGCTGTGGTAATATTGTTGATTGGAACAGCTGTAGTTATATTGGAGGTTGGAACAGCTGTAGTCACGTTAGAGAAAGGAACAGCTGAAGTCATATTAGATATTGGGGCAGCAGTGGTGGTGCTGGAGACGGGGGCAGCTGTGGTTCTCTGGACACAGTTGGCGTTTGCAGGAGAGTCACACACCTGCAGCTTGGCGTTGAAGTGCAACATAGGAGGACAGTGCTGCAACAGGGCCGTCCCGTACCAGCTGCACATGTAAAAGGAACCGCAGTCGACGGGGTTGGGCAGCAGCAGAGGGATCGGCCCCGGCGTGTAGGGGCACTGAGCGGCCACCTGAGGAAGGTCCGTGACGGCGGCTGGGAGGCCGTGACTCACTCCTGCGACGACCAACAGTGACAGAGACGCGACCAAGCTGGCGTAGACGAAGAAAAGTTGTGTCATTCTGCCTTACAGATATGATGCCATAAAATAATGTGTGATGCATATGGCATATTAATTTCTAAAGCGATAACAATGCATTTATAAATCAAAACCGCTTACACACCTCATGAACTGCATATCTGAAAATTTCTCACAGATAACAGAAGTAGACTACTGAGAGCCTGACGTTAGGAGAGCTTTGTTGTGTTGCTAAAAGTTCCTCTCGAACGCGTTGGTCGGACGAGCGTCTTACCTTTTAAGAATGAGTGACGTCAAAATACAAACGTTAAGGAACATCGAGTAATTCCCTATAGTACGTTTCGATGACGTCTCAGTGAGATAAGATTCCTTAATCCTTTTAGCGGACCTGCCTCTGGAAAAACTGATAAGCCCCGATGGAGAGATAGGGAGAGGATGGAATTCGATGTGGATTGAATTAGATTTTAGAGTTAAAGACAGTTTTTTTGGAGTTAACGACATTTGGGTTGTAGATATTGGTTCAGTGTTGCGAGGACTGTTAATGACGTTGATGGGTTGAGTACAAACACTGACAAAATGAAAAAAAACTAGTAATGAGAATTAAACTATGGTAAGTTCAGTAATAACACTAATGACAAAATAAGATAAGCAATATGTATCGAAACAAACGCACAAACAAACACACAAGTTTCATAAGAAATTATACTTATGACTTGATAATAGGGCTTATTTGTGAGGTTATATGGACAAGTCAGAATGCTCGTCACCCACTACGGAATCCTGAAGTCATTCCATCCTAAGTATTATGTACATTTCACCACTCACGGAGTTAATTGTTCTATCTACAGAAAGTATATCTGCTATAGCGATCTTAGTGATTATTGATAACTCTAATAGTTTATGGCTTTAATCGTTAATGTTTTACTTACAAGTCACGGTTAGGATTTAAGCTAAGTCTAGCTCACGTCTCCTGATCGTCCCACGCGTTGCTGACAAAATGTGGCCGGGCTTTACATATTCTCTGCCCCTTGATACGCTGTCTCATCTATACTACGCTGCTGAACAGATCTTTCCCCTAATAAAGCAAGAAAATGTTTGCAAATGGTCAAGTTTCATACTGCGTTTGTGCTTCACCGTTAGTTATATCTCTGCTGTACTATCCATTTCATTCAGATTTCTTACGAGGATATTGCAGCCTCTGTTCAGTAATATAAACTTTCATCAATCACTATTTTTTTCATATTTTCCCCAAAGAAAAATCCTTTAATCTTTAATCCTCCAATTTTAATTATCTATCTGTTAAGTGGTGGGCATTCTTTTTCTTTATTTTTTGTTGCCTTTAGAATTCACGGTTAAAATTATGATACTACATAATACAAAGATCGTATACACATAAATGAATATACATATATAAGCCATCCGGCTATCTATCTGTCTGTCTATGGAACTGTCTACTGTCGGTCTATACGTATCACAGATGATTTTGCTGTCTGCTCTTCCCTTCTTTGTTTTGTTTACAATTTGCTCTCATGATTCCTTATCTCCACACTGTGCTTATCAGCTGCTTCCGGGGAGAACCTGTTCGATGGGGAGATGCCTTGTTTTTTTCTTGATTTCCTTTGACGGCGATACAAGATTAGGAAAAGGATTAAAGGGATCATTCTGAGTTCGTCGATGACTATGTTTTGACGTCATTCTTCCAACTTATAAGGCGAAACTCTCGTCCAGACAAGTCACTCGAAAAGAGGATATCACAGAACAACAAACCTCTCATTTGTCTATTAATTTTTGGAAAATCTTCGTCATGAAGTTTCACAGGTGTGTAATTGGCTTTATTGTGCCACAGTTTATTCCAGAAAATCAAATACACCATGAATCATTATGGCCAACAATATGCAACTAAATGTCCAGTCAGGAAAATTAACCAATTCTTCATTTCCGCCAGCATGGTCGCGTCTCTGTCGCTGTTGGTCGTCGCAGGAGTGAGTCACGGCCTCCCAGCCGCCGTCACGGCCCCTCCTCAGGTGGCCGCTCAGTGCCCCTACACGCCGGGGCCGATCCCTCTGCTGCTGCCCAACCCCGTCGACTGCGGCTCCTTCTACATGTGCAGCTGGTACGGGACGGCCCTGTTGCAGCACTGTCCTCCTATGCTGCACTTCAACGCTAAACTGCAGGTGTGTGACTCTCCTGCAAACGCCAACTGTGTCCTGAGAACCACAGCTGCCCCCGTCTCCAGCACCACTACTGGTGCTCCAGTCTCCAATGTGACATCAGCTGTTCCTGTCTTCAACAAAACTACAGCTGCCCCAATTACCAATATAACTACAGCGGTTCCAATTCACAATGCGACCACAGCTGTTATTTCTCCAGCGTGACCACATCTTTTCCAAACTCCACTGTAACCTCAGCTGCATCCAGCTGGTCCATGCTCCATGTATACAGTGTTCAGGGTAACCACGACCGGACCAGACTTCAGAGTACGATTAAGGTCACTATCAAGATGGTTCCTAATGTGCCATGCATTTACTTTGCAATAAACCCTTTGAAGACAAGCTTTGCCTTTTCTATGCATTCCTTTCGTGATTCTTATGCTCAGCATACATAACTGCGGAAAATACATTATATGAAATGGAAGAAATAAACATTAACATTTTACAATATAGACCTTAAACACGAGCAAAAATGAATTAATATTATGATAGACCTTGAGGCACACAAATAGCGATGTCAAGTTCAGTACTTAAACAGATCAACGAAAGAAAATGGAAGAAAATAAAGTATAAAATAAAAATGAAATCGAATTTAATAAAAATGCATCTGTCAAAGACGGGCATGGGATTAGGTGGTTGGGCACAAAGCTCAACACCCACGATGAGAATAAAATAACTGTAACAGCAGACCATTATTATGACTCACAATCCATGAGTTTGTAAATGCAAGTTCCCAAATGGAAAAAAAAAAAAAATCTCTCTTTCACAGCTACCGACACAAATATTTATAACTTAAGATTTTTTTTTTGCGAACAATCATTGAATTCCCAACCAACACTAGTAAAAGAAGGTTCGTAAATACAACTTTCATATTTTCTTATCCTTGACAAGCCTCGTCCCACTCTGTACTTATTTTCACACAACATAAAACCCTTTTTTCCAGAAAGTGCAGCGTTTCATGCCTCCGATTCCTGAGCTGCACTCACCATCAGAAGACCTGCCGACCAGTTGTCTTCAGATTTTGTTCTGCAGTTATGAACTTGTAACTATAACTTTATTTTGCTTTTCATTACGTTGTCAATCAACAGTTTTAATCCTTATTTGTTAATCATTTCTTTATTTTGCTCTTAACCCATGCCATGCCTAATGTATTATATTTACACATAGATGGCTCTACAAGTGTTTAGTCACCAAGGAGTCGGTTATTAGTCCTACCTATCTCACCTGTTTATCCTTTTCCTCAAATTTTGGAAAGGGTATTTTGCATTATTTCATTGTCTTAAATGCAATCGAGATTTTATTACCAATTTGATAATCATAACATCAATAACAATAATAAGAGTATTGATGTCAATTGAACTAAAAAGAAAAAACAAATTTTCCCACCAATTCAAGGAATGGGGAAATCAGGATCGGTAACTAGGGAGACAAAACATAAATCCGGGGTGGTTGGGTTAATAACCTATTTCCATTCCTCTTCATATAATTTCTTGAGATTTGTGAGCCAAGGAGAAAGAGGATCATGAAATGAACGCATCCAAGAGATAAAGCTTGTATTTAAAACGTTTATTCTAAAATAGATACAGAACACACGAGGAAAATTTTTAATAGCAATTGTAATCCTCCTCCTGAGTTACTCTGGATACTGGAGCAACTGGAGATACAGGAGACTAGAACAACTGGATCAGTTGCGGTTACAAAGGAGAAGGAACAGCAGTGGTCGCATTAGCGATAGGAGCAGCTGTGGTTACATTGCTGATTGGAGAAGCTGTAGTTATATTGGAGGTTGGGACAACTGTAGTTACGTTGGAGACTGGAACAGTTGCTGTCACATTGGAGATTGGAGCAGCAGTGGTGGTGCTGGAGACGGGCGCAGCTGTGGTTCTCTGGACACAGTTGGCGTTTGCAGGAGAGTCACACACCTGCAGTTTAGCGTTGAAGTGCAGCATAGGAGGACAGTTCTGCAACAGGGCCGTCCCGTACCAGCTGCACATGTAGAAGGAGCCGCAGTCGACGGGGTTGGGCAGCAGCAGAGGGATCGGCCCCGGCGTGTAGGGGCACTGAGCGGCCACCTGAGGAGGGGCCGTGACGGCGGCTGGGTGGCCGTGACTCACTCCTGCGACGACCAATAGCGACAGAGACGCGACCAAGCTGACGGAGATGAAGAGAAATTGGTTAATTTGCCTGACTGAACAGTTGTACAACCTTGTTCGTAAAGACTCATTGTTTTTGTGTTTATAGTGTATCCTATATATATATATTCATATACACACACACACACACACACACACACACACACACACACACACACACACATATATATATATATATATATATATATATATATATATATATATATATATATATATATATATATGTATATATGAACACACAAAATTTAAGCCATTTACACACCTGCGAAACTTCATATCGACCATTTTCAAATTTATGTAGACACAAGATTGAGATATTTGGTGTTCTGTGAGATCCTCTTTTCGAGTGACTTGTCTGGACGAGAGTTTCGCCTTATAAGTTGGAAGAATGACGTCAAAGCACATCCATCGACAAAATCAGAATAAGCTCTTTAATCCGTTTTCTAATCTTGTATCGCCGTCAAAGGAAATAAACAAGGCATCTCCCCATCGTACCAGGTTCTCCCCGGAAGCAGCTGATAATCACAGCGTGGAGATAAGGAATCACGAGAGCAAATTGTGAACAAACCAAAGAAGGGAAGAGCAGGAAACAAAATCGTATATATGCATTTATGTGTGTATGTGACCATTATATTATGTAGTATCATAATTTTAACCGTGAATTCCAAAGGCAACAAAAAACTAAAGAAAAAGGATGGTCACCACTGAACAGATAAAAAATAAGATTGAAGGATGAAGGATTAAAGGATTTTTCGTTGGGGAAAACATGAAAAAATAGTAAAGTGATTAATGAAAGCCTATATTACTGAACAGAGGCTGCAATATCCTCGTAAGAAATCTGAATGAAATGGATAATACAGCAAAGATATAACTAACGATGAAACACAAATGCAGTATGAAACTTGACCATTTGCAAACATTTTCTTGTTTTATTAGGGGAAAGATCTGTTCAGCAACGTAGTATAGATGAAACAGCGTATCAAGAATCAGAGACTATGTAAAGCCCGGCCACATTTTGTCTGCAACGCTTGGGACGATCAGGATACGTGAGCTAGACTTAGCTTAAATCCTAACCGTGACTTGTAAGTAAAGCATTAACGATTAAAGACATAAACTATTAGAGTTATCAATAATCACTAAGATCGCTATAGCAGATATACTTTCTGTAGATAGAACAATTAACTCCGCGAGTGATGAAATGTACATAATACTTAGGATGGAATGACTGTTCAGGATTCCGTAGTGGGTGACGAGCATTCTGACTTGTCCATATAACCCCACAAATAAGCCCTATTATCAAGTCATAAGTATAATTTCTTATGAAACTTGTGTGTTTGTTTGTGCGTTTGTTTCGATACACATTGCTTATCTTATTTTGTCATTAGCGTTATTACTGAACTTACCATAGTTATAATTCTCATTACTAGTTTTTTTTTTATTTTGTCAGTGTTTGCACGCAACCCATCAACGTCATTAACAGTCCTCGCAACACTGAACCAATATCTACAACACAAATGTCGTTAACTCAAAAAAAACTGTCTTTAACTCTAAAATCTAATGCAATCCACATCGAATTCCATCCTCTCCCTATCTCTCCATCAGTTTTTCCAGAGGCAGGTCCGCTAAGAGGATTAAGGAATCTTATCTCACTGAGACGTCATCGAAACGTACTATAGGGAATTACTCGATGTTCCTTAACGTTTGTATTTTGACGTCACTCATTCTTAAAAGGTAAGACGCTCGTCCGACCAACGCGTTCGAGAGGAACTTTTAGCAACACAACAAAGCTCTCCTAAAGTCAGGCTCTCAGTCGTCTACTTTTGTTATCTGTGAGAAAATTTCAGATATGCAGTTTATCAGGTGTGTAAGCGATTTTGATTTCTAACTGCATCGTTATTGCTTTAGAAATTAATTTGTCATATGCATCACACATTATTTTATAGCATCGTATCCTGTAAGGCAGAATGACAGAACTTTTCTTCGTCTCCGGCAGTTTGGTCGCGTCTCTGTCGCTGCTGGTCGTCGCAGGAGTGAGTCACGGCCTCCCAGCCGCCGTCCTCAGGTGACCACTCAGTGCCCCTACACGCCTGGGCCAGTCCCTCTGCTGGTGCCCAACCCCGTCGACTGTGGCTCCTTTTACATGTGCAGCTGGTATGGGACGGCCCTGTTGCAGCACTGTCCTCCTGTACTGCACTTCAACGCTAAACTGCAGGTGTGTGACATTCCTCCTGCAAACGCCAACTGTATCCAGAGAACCACCACAGTTGCTTCAATTTCCAATGTGACATCAACTGTTCCTGTCTCCAACATAAGTACAGTTTTCCCAACCTCCAATATAACTACAGCTTCTCCAATCAGCAATGTAACCACGCCTGCTCCTATCGCCAATGCAACCACTGTTGTTCCTTCTCCTTTGTGACCGCAGCGGTCCCAAACTCCAGTGTAACTGCAACTGTATCCAGTTGTTCTAGTCTCCTGTATCTCCAGTTGCTCCAGTATCCAGAGGAACTCAAGAGGAGGATTACAATTGCTGTAATTTGCTCGTGTATTATATATTTATTTTGAAATAAACGTTTTAAATACAAGCTTTATTTTTTGGATGCGTTCATTTCATGATCCTCTTTCTCCTTGGGGCCGATTGGGTTAAGAACAATATAAAGAAATTATTTACAAATAAGGATTAAAATTGTTGAATGCCAGATTAACAACGTAATGAAAAGCAAAGTTTATGACTGCAGAACAAAATTAGTCAACAATTTATTAGCGAGAGGAAATTTGAAGACAACTGGTCGGCAGATCTTCTGAAGGTGAGTGCAGTTCAGGAATCGGTGGCATGAAACACTGCACTTCATTTTAAGGAAAAAAGGGTTTCATGTTATGTGAAATATGTACAGGGTGGGACGAGGCTTGTCAAGGATCAGAAAATATAAAAGTTGTATTTACGAACTAGTGTTGATTGGGAATTCAATGATTGTTCACAAAAAATTCTTAAGTTATAAATATTTGTGTCGGTTGCTGTGAAAGAGAAATCTTATTATTTTTTTTTTTTTCATTTGGGAACTTGCATTGACGAACTCATGGATTGTGAGTCATAATAATAGTCTGCATGTTACAGTTGATTATTTTATTCTCATCGTCGGCGTTGAGCTTTGTGCCAAACCACCTAGTCACATGCCCGTCTTTGACAGATGCATTTTTATTAAATTCGATTTCATTCTTATTTTATAACTTATTTTCTTCCTTTTTCTTTCGTTGATCTGTTTAAGATCTGTTGCACTTGTCATCGTTATTTGTGTGCCTCAAGGTCCATCATAATATTAATCAATCTTTGCTTTTGTTTAAGGTCCACATTGTAAAATGTTAATGTTTATTTCTTCCATTTCATATAATGTATTTTCCGCAGTTATGTATGCTGAGCATAAGAATCACGAAAGGAATGCATAGAAAAGGCAAAGCTTGTCTTCAAAGGGTTTATTGCAAAGTAAATGCATGGCACATTAGGAACCATCTTGATAGTGACTGTAATCGTATTCTGAAGTCTGGTCCGGTCGTGGTTACCCTGAACACTGGGTACATGGAGCATCGACCAGCTGGATACAACTGCGGTTACAGTGGAGTTTGGAAAAGATGTGGTCACGCTGGAGAAATACCAGCTGTGGTCGCATGGTGGATTGGAACAGCTGTAGTTATATTGGTAGTTGGGACAGCTGTAGTTATGTTGGAGACAGGAACAGCTGATGTCACATTGGAGATTGGAGCAGCAGTGGTGGTGCTGGAGATGGGGGCAGCTGTGGTTCTCTGGACACAGTTGGCGTTTGCAGGAGAGTCAACACACCTGGCGTTGAAGTGCAGCATAGGAGGACAGTGCTGCAACAGGGCCGTCCCGTACCAGCTGCACATGTAGAAGGAGCCGCAGTCGACGGGGTTGGGCAGCAGCAGAGGGATCGGCCCCGGCGTGTAGGGGCACTGAGCGGCCACCTGAGGAGGGGCTGTGCCGGCGGCTGGGAGGCCGTGACTCACTCCTGCGACGACCAGCAGCGACAGAGACGCGACCAAGCTGACGGAGATGAAGAAATGGATAATTTGCCTCACTGGACATTGTATATTGTTGGTCTTAATGATTCATGGTGTATTTGAGTTTGTAGCACGGCCTGTATATATGTTTCTGGAATAAACTGTGGCACAATAAAGCCAATTACACACCTGTGAAACTTCATGACGAAGATTTTCCAAAAATTGATAGACGAATGACTTGTCAGGACGAGAGTTTCGCCTTATAAGTTGGAAGAATGACGTCAAAATATAGTCATCGACGAACTCAGAATAATCCCTTTAATCCATTTCCTAATCTTGTATCGCCAACAAAGGAAATCAAGAAAAAAAACAAGGCATCTCCTCATCGAACCAGGTTCTCCCCGGAAGCAACTGATAAGCACAGTGTGGAGTTAAGGAATCAAGAGAGAAAATTGTAAATAAAGCAAAGAAAGGAAGAGCAGACAACAAATCGTTTGTGATACATATAGACTTTGACAGTGGGCAGTTCCGTAGACAGACAGGTAGATATAGAAAGCTGAATGGATATGCGTATATATGTATATATATGTCTATATATGCATTTATATACGGACGTGCGTGTATGTGTATGTGATCATTGGATTATGTAGTATATAATATTAACTGAATTCCATTGGCAACATAAAATTAACGACCACCCCTTAGAACAGGATGACAAAATAGGAAGGAAATAAATGAGAAAATAAGACCTGTAAAAGACGGGCATATGACTAGGTGGTTGGGCACAACTCAGAACCCACAATGGAGAAAGAAATAATAAATTGTAACATGCAAACCATTGCTTGTTATGTCTCGCAATCCATGGCATTATAAAAATCCCTACAATGAAAATACTAAGACATTATCTAAAGCAATAAGTGAAGATTTACTGTATACCCGAACCAACGCTTGTAAAAGAAGGTTCGGCTCCGGCGTGTAGGGGCACTGAGCGGCCACCTGAGGAGGGGCCGTGACGGCGGCTGGGAGACCGTGACTCACTGCTGCGATGACGAGCTGCGACAGAGACGCGACCAAGCTGACGAAGATGAAGAAAATTGGTTAATTTGCCTGACTGAATACTTAATTGTATATTCTTGGCTGTAATGATTTATGTTGCATTTCTGTTTGCAGTACATCCTGTATATTTACGTTTCTGGAATAAACTTTGTGGCACAATAAAGCTATTTACACACCTGTGAAACTTCATGACGAAGATTTTCCAAAACTAACAGTCAGATGAGACGTCTGGTGTTGTATAAGATCCTGTTTTTAAGGGATTTGTGTGGAAGAGTTTCGCCTTCTAAGACGGAAGAATGATGGCAGAACACAGACATCAAGGACCTCAGAATAATCCCCAGTTTTCGTGTGTTGAAGAAGGTTCTCCCTAGGGGGGGGGACTCGTGCTGAACAAACGGAAGAGCAAGGGAAAAACAAGGTTGTAGGAAGAGACAGAGAAACAGATAAAAAAGCGATTGATAGATGGTTAGAAGCGCATATCGTAGATAGTCATCATAATATTATGCCGAATAAGTTCCTGACTTTCAACATTAAGAGCTTGAAACTCGTTTCAACTCGTATAAACGATTCTTAAGAGAGAGAGAGAGAGAGAGAGAGAGAGAGAGAGAGAGAGAGAGAGAGAGAGAGAGAGAGAGAGAGAGAGATGGATAGATAGATAGATAGATAGATAGAGAGAGAGAGAAAGTGAGAAAGAGAGAGACAAACAGCAATAGAAAAAAAGAAAGCGAAAAAGAAAAATACACACTAATCGAACAATTAAAGATACATATTTATCGAGCAGGTGAAAATAAATCTCTTGTATTATATTGTATTGTATCTTGTATTGTGAATATATTCATACCTTTTTTCTACATTTGTCAACATGAATACGGTTCAGTCATATTTATATTAGATTTTTTTTTATTTGCGTACATACTTTCCTTGGCTATTCCTGGTGTTATAAAGCAAATTAATATAATTTCATTACTACGCCGAGACTTTATAAAGCAAAATGATTATGCAATATAAACGGGAAAAACAATTCCAGATTAATAATGTGCACATATCTCTCATTAGCTTCTTGGAATTATTATACTGACTCTTCCATTATTAATTCATATTATGGCTCTGTTGAAATATATGGATAGAAGTGACTTCAGCGTTATCTGACTATTCATTATCAGCTTCTATGGCATAAAATCTTGCGCAGTTTTTATTCCATTTTTTATATACATTTAGCGTTATTTTACCTAACACTTTCATATCATATAAAAAAATCTCTGCGATCTTGTAATCTGTAACAGATATTTCTCATAATGATAAAATCAAATCAGTGAAGGAAGTATGTGACTCTAAACAATTTCCTGGAAAGTAAACTATTGAAATCAGTGCCTGGAACAACATTTATTTAGATCATCGCTTGGAACAACTGTAGTCACACTGGGGACGAAATAACACAGCTTTATTTAGGCGCTGAATTGTATAACATGAGGGCAGTATTGCAAGAATGAACGCTTATGCTGTACCCAAAATTACGGCAGTTTATATTCTACATTCGTGTTAGCGGTGCACACACCTTATGAATTAAAGGTGTGATGACATATTGAGAAACAATTTCACAGTAGAAGTAGATGGACGGAAGAGGACAGCGGCGAGAGAACCTCTCTTTTATCAAGTGAGGTCCACGTTGGAGAAAGGCGTCATATGGAGTTAATTCCTACAATACATATAATATACAATGACCACCAGTCTAAAGGTAAGTGAAAAGATTGAGCCTTAGGGGTATACGTGAGGAAAAATTATTTCTCGAAAACTACGTCAATATATATATATGTGTGTGTGTGTGTGTGTGTGTGTGTGTGTGTGTGTATGTGTGTGTGATATAATGTAAGGATTTACTATAGTAATTCAGAGGATAGTATAGATACATCCTCTGATTCAGAAACAAACAAAAAAAAACACATT